GTGTCACGCTCCGGGCTCCGGGAGCACCGCGGCCCGGCTGCGGGAGCACGGGCCTCCGCGGGCGCCGCGACAGCGGGGCCTGGCTGTCGGGGCCCGCCGGGCCAGAGGGGTGCTCGGCTTGGGGTGTGGACGCGGAGGGAGGGCAGGCAGAGCACGCTCGTTTTCTGGAATCTTCCTTTTGTGACGGCACGCATAGCGTGTGGATCTCTCCTCCGGGGTACCCGGGAGCTAGCCGGGGCCTTTGCACTGAGCTACCGCGGAGGGCCTTGTGGAGGTCTTAATTTGGTCGCTCCAGGTTGTGTAGGCTGGGCCTGGATTTGGGATCCTTTTCTTTAGCTTCCCAGCGTGTGCTTACCTTTAAACTTTTAAGTCATTTAGCACAATCTAAGTGTGTTGGTATTCCTTACACTGTTAATCGCACGAAGGTTGTTTCCATGTTGGTGTGTTTTAAAATTCTGAGTTTTACCGCAAAGGTACAGTGCTTTCCAGGGCAGTGCTTCAAAGATCTTTTCAGAATACCTTTCTTGTATGTGTACTGTGCAAATTTCCTAGATTCTGCTCAGAAGTAAGCATGTCTGCAGGGCTGGTCTGTTTTGGTTTAATTTCATGAAGTATTGGGGTGGAGAAGACATTTCAGGGGGTGAAGCTGGTCCTCCTGGCTTTAAGAATTGTGCTCCGCACTGGATGTGTCAATAAGTCCATCTCACATGTGGAGTGTTGGAGGGCCCTCACCTGGGTGGACAGATGGATGGAGGTGCTAGAGTCAGGCCTAGGGCAGGCGAGGCTTCCTGGACCGAGGGCTCCTGCTGGGCTGATGACTGTGGCCGTCTATTTCAGCGCAATGTGCTATTATCATGTTTGACGTGACATCCAGAGTCACCTACAAGAACGTGCCTAACTGGCATAGAGACCTGGTGCGAGTGTGCGAGAACATCCCCATCGTGTTGTGCGGCAACAAAGTGGACATCAAGGACAGGAAAGTGAAGGCGAAGTCCATCGTCTTTCACCGAAAGAAGAATCTTCAGGTACACTAGACTTGGGACTTCTGTACAGTGTGACGGGCGTCTCGTGCGGGGTCTTTAGCTTAGAAAGTCCTCAAGTGAGCGTTTCTTTTGCGAAGTTTTTAATGATTTACTGCACTTTTGTTTTAAACAGTACTATGATATTTCTGCCAAAAGTAACTACAACTTTGAGAAGCCCTTCCTCTGGCTCGCCAGAAAGCTTATCGGAGACCCAAACTTGGAGTTCGTCGCCATGCCCGCTCTTGCCCCGCCAGAAGTCGTCATGGACCCAGCATTGGCCGCGCAGTATGAGCACGATTTAGAGGTACCCGCCTGCTCTCTCTCTGTGTGCGGCCTGGCACGGCTCCCGGCGCCGGCACTCTGCCCTGAGTGGTGGTGTCCTCTCTCCCCAGGTTGCTCAGACCACTGCTCTCCCGGATGAGGATGACGACCTGTGAGGAAGTGAAGCGGGCCGGCGTCAGAAGTCTAGTTTTATAGGCAACTGTCCTGTGACGTGAGCGGTGCCGCGTGCGTGCCACTTTGTTATCTAGCTAAGCAGACATGTGCTTCATCTTTGGGATGCGCAAGGAGATGAATGGGTTTCGGAGTGAGTGTGGCAGTTAAACCCTCGTTTTTTGGACCCGCATATTTAGCTGTTTGGAACGCAGTTGTTTTCCTTGAGTTTCAAATATAAGACTGCTACAGTCACATCACAGTACTCGGTGGTGAAATCTTGTTACTGTCATTCCCATTCCTTTTCGTTTAGAATGAGAATAAAGTTGTATTTCCAATATCTCAGCCAGCGCGCTCATCCCTGTCTGTAAGCGCTCGGGGCCGTCACGCTAGGCAGCCGGTCTGCACGCGGGCCCCACCACCTTGCTCCTAGCCTGGGCCGGCGGGCTCCCTCTCCATGGCATTTCTGTGTGCGCTTGCAGCCTGGCTACCAGGGTGACCCAGCTGTGTCAGGTGAGGGGTCCCGCAGTGTGGAAACGTGTAGCGTCCCTGAACTGGGATGGTGAAGTCTGCCTCACCTGTGGCTTCCTGACCAGTGTCATCGAGGGAACCAAAACCTGTTCCTGTGAAGAGATGGCGTGTCCTTGTGTTCTGTGGCACAGAGCCTCATCTCCCCGTGACCTCCACAGAGCAGTGGAGTTTCTGCAGCACAGAGCAAGCCTCACAGCACCTTCCCTAAGTGTCATCAAGCAAGCGGGCGCTCTAGGGCAGTGTTGTGTGTTTGCGTTTGCCTGCTGCTACCAAGCACTCCGTGCTCACAGGTGACTTGGGATGAAGCCAGAGGCTGTGAGTGCAAGACCCAGCCGGCTGAGCAGGCATGGGCCGTGGGGCTGGGCTGGGCTGGCGGCTCCAGCCTGAAGCTCCAAGGACGGGCTGTTCTGTGAGGAGGTGAGCCCATCAGCGTGGCACACAGCAGGTAGCCTCCGAGCAGTCTTCCTCGCGTGTGCTGTCCGCTCGATTCGTGCCGGCTGTCCTTAACCACCCCACGCAGGATTATCTTTACAGATTACTTCCTGCCTTGGGAGCAGGTGAAAGGTGAGAGAGACCAGCCTCAGTCCCCACAAGCTGCGCTGGCAGCTTACCTAGGCCTAGTGTGTGTACAGTACGCCATGTGGTCAGTCTAGCATCCCGTGTGAGTTCAGGTGCTTTGAACACGCTGTGTGTATGACCTGTAGGATGTAAGTACCGTGGGGACCTTGGAGTCCTAACGTGGAACCGTCCAGATTTGGGAGCAAAGTGTGTGCCTAACATGGACTGGCAGAGAGAGGACCGACAAGCCACGGCCTGGAAGGAAAGTTTGTCGCGGGTGCCTGCACTTGGCTGCCTGGCTCGAGCCATCCGCACATGTGCTGCGCAGGTCTGCAGGGTGTGCTCCCTGCTGGACATCTCGGTGAGGGTGGGCTGAGCTGGGGTCACAGGGTGGAGTCACTGCGCGTGAGCAGCTGTTGGAGCAGGGTCGCGAGCAAAAGCCCCTTTCTGACTTGTATGTTGAAGTCGGTACATGGAAAATGTTTTTAAGCAGTTTGACTTGGGACCAGCTGATTTTCCTCGAAGACTGCAGCGGGTTGGGTCTCAAGGTTGAGGATCGCCGGGCAACACAGGCAACTCGAGGCCGTGGCCTGGACGCCTGTGGCGTCTGCTTTGGTGGTGAGCACACACCGTGCATACCAAGTGGGTGTGAGCGGGGTGTGCGGGGCCCACGGCGCTCGGCGCTGTCCGCCCAGTGGTGGGGTTGGGAAGCAGTGCGGTCCAGCGGGCGGTGCTGGCTGCCATCACTCTTGAACACCTGAGCCTGGACCTCGCCCTGCTGCCTGGTGACCCCTGAGGCCGCACTGCTTGCTGCCCCCCTCATCCTTGCAGGGATGTCTGCTTGGCCCAGCTACCCCTCAGTCTGCCACCCACCCATGGCCTGCATGGTGCTCTTTGACAGCCCTGGGGAGGAGGGGGCCTCGAGGACCAGACCCTGAGCTGGGGTGGCATCGCATCTGTCCCGGGCCCCAGCCACACTCTAGGATGGCTTGTGTCTGGTAAAAGCAGCAAGCAGACCACGCAGAGCCCTCAGGTGTTGCGATGCTCCCGCGACGCCTGAGTTCAGGGTCAGCCGTGGGACCTCCTGTGCCTTGTACCAGGACTGCTGCGGGTGCGGTGAGCTAGGGCACAAGGCCACAAGTGTCCCAGGAACCTGAGAAGCCTTGGACACCAGCTAGGCCTGAAGGGAGTAAAGGAATTCAGGGGAACATGGGCGACGGAGTGGGTGGGTCACCACAGGGTTGAGCGCTTTTTTATTTGATGGAACCAGGGATCAAACTTGGGACCTTATGCTTGCCAGGCAGGCGCTTATGCCACTGAGCTATCTTCCCCACCCAGAATTCTATTTTCTTTTTTTTGCGGAACTGGGGATTGAACTCAAGCCCTTACGCTCGCCAGGCAAACACTCTACTGAGCTCCCCAGCCTCCCCACCACAGGATTGAGCCTCAGAAGATGGGCAACACTGGGAGGCAGGAGGGTCACTGCCAGTGTGAGGCCAGTTGGCTACATAGTTGAAGGCCTTCCACCTGAACTACATAGGGAGACCCAGTCTCGACAGAACCCCACTGGGAAGCCACTGAAGGTGCAGTAGCCTCGTTAAAAGCCTGGCAGGAAGCATGGGTGCAGAGCTGGTGACAGCTCCACGGGTGTATGTCCCGGTTGGGATTGCAGAGACGGCCACACGTGTCTGCGGCCTCACTGGGCAGCCGTGGTGTCACGCACAGGCCCGTGGTCATGAGCGGGGCTGCCCGGCCATGACTGTCCTGTGACGTGACCAGGACTTGCTGGCCTGCTTTGGCGATGGCTGCAGGCAGGAGGCTGTGCAGCAGGCAGAGCACAGGCTGGCCAGGCAGGGCTGGTGGCTGTGTGTGGGGGTGGGGTGGGGGGTGATGATCACTCCTCCCCAGGGCCACCCAGCCCCGCCCTTTGTGCACAGAGTTGTAGCATGCCCCCACTCGAGCCACGTTGGAGCCACCCTCGGCTGTGTGCGGAGACCTTCCCGCGCTCCAGGTGGCAGCATGCGCGATGCCCTGCCCTGTCCGTGGTGCTCCTTCCTACCCGGAGCTCTCCCTCCGCCAGCCAGCGTGTGATCTGTTGGTCCGCAGCCTGTGTGTCTGCACTACCCTATCCTGCCTGCAGTTCAGTTGTCACCTCCTCGGACTACGGAGGCTGAGGCTGCCACTGGCCTCTGCCTCTCGTGTCCGGGGCTCTAGAGGGAACACGCTCCTGGAAGCATGCCGGCTGTGTTGGGCTCGGTGCAGCGGCGCAGCCGCCTGCCATCACCCAGCTCCCGTCACCCAGGGGGAGCCGCGCGGCCCAGCAGAAGACAGCTCATCCCGACTGGGGTCTGTTGGTACAGAAACGGGTACACAGTGGCTTTGGGGGTGACCATGTAAGTCACACATGGTGTTAAAAGTAACTGGATTTCTCGAGCAGCTGTTGCTGACCCGTGGACCTCTGCGTGTCTGTGTATGTGGCTCACGTTTTGTTTTGGTGCTGAGCATTGAAATCAACCTGTGCAGCCTAACTGCTCTACACCCCAGGCCTGGGAGGGTTTTTGTTTTACAAAGATCAGTATTTTCTGTCAAATTTTATGAAAACAAAAATTTTTCAGTCCTGGAGGTTGACCCGCCCCCATGCGCAGCCCTTTCTAGTATTTATTTACTTATTTTATGGACTTAGTGCAGGGTCTGCCGGGTCTCACTATGTAGAGCAGACTCGGAGTGATCCTCTGGTTTCAGCCTCCCAAGCACTGGGATTATGGGCGTGTGCACGCCCCCCCATCCGGTCTCGGCACACCCTGGGGGCGGCGGGCACAGCACACAGAGAGGGAGCCGCAGGCACTTTAGTCCACTGAACTACCTAATGGCCCAGCCCTTTCTATTTTGATACCAGGAATTGAACTCAGGGTCCCACACTTGATGGGCAGGTGCTATGACTAAGCTACGTCCCTGGCCATATATATATATATATATATATAT